ACGTCTCCCTTCCCAGACAAGGCGCTAGCCGACTTTGCACCATCCATGGATGGTAGGGCCCATCAGGACCTGCTCCGCCACCTCCCACAAAGTTTGGGAGTACAAGCGAACAAGGTCTGCGACGATTCGGACCCCACTGTCGACATCCTGAACGCTGACACTTCCTCTAGAGTGGCCCTGCCGATCAATAAAACGGTTGCCAAAATTTCAGCAAACTTGTGGCAAACTCCAGCATCCATTCCCCCCCACTGACAAGTGTGTGTAAAGGAGGTACTTTGTCTCCCAGGAGGGTAATGAACACCTCTTTCACCACCCCCTCCAGACTCCTTAGTGGTACAGGCAGTCAACCAAAGGGAGAGGCAAGGACAACCCGCTGCCACACCTAATAACAAGGAGGCTAAAAAGACTGACCTGCTGGGTAGATAGGTCTACGCGGCTGGGGGCATTCAATACCACATGGCCAACCAACAAGTCCTCTTGTCCTGGTATGCCTACAACACCTGGGCGTACCTCACTAAGTGGAAGCAGTTTTGCTGTTGGGTTTCTCAGAAGGGGGTAAATCTGAGGTGGGCTCCAGTCCCCCTGATCTTAGATGAACTTAGATGAACTGTTGGAGCTTAGGCTCCAATATCTTTCTTTCTCCTCCATCAAGGTTCACTTAACGGCCATCTTGGCCTTTCACCCGGGGAAGAGGGGGAAAACTCTATTTGCCAATCCAATGGTCAACAGGTTCCTAAAAGGAATGGACAGACTCTATCCTCATGTCCGCCAACCTGTTCCCCAGTAGGACCTAAACCTGGTCCTCTCCAAACTTATGGGGCCCCCATTCAAACCGCTAGTGATGTGTTTCCTCCTCCACCTATCATATAAGGTGTCTCTCCTAGTGGCAATCACATCCGCGAGGCGGGTATCTAAGCTTAGGGGGCTGACATCAGATCCCCCCTACACAGTGTTTTTTAAGGACAAGGTTCGGCTCTGCTCTCACCTGGCTTTGCTGCCAAAGGTGATATCTTCTTTCCGCACCTCCCAGGACATTTTCCTGCCAGTTTTTTTACCCAAAACCACTCGCAGCTGGGAAAGAACAGGCTCTTTACACTCTAGACGTCCATAGGGCGCTAGCCTTTTATTTAGACAGGACCAAACCGTTCTGTAAATCGCCACAACTTTTCGTGGCCATCACGGAACGCATGAGAGGCCAACCTGCATCCACTCAGGGGATTGCCTCTTGGGTAACCACCTGTATCAGGGAGTGCTACACCCTAGCAGGTGTCCCGGTTCTGCACCTTAAAGCGCACTCCATGAGGGCTGTAGCAGCTTCCACTGCTTTCGTAGCACAGGTTCCCATCCTGGACATCTGCAGAGCTGCCACATGGTCCTCAGTCCGTATGTTTACCAACCACTATGCGCTGTCACATCAGGCTAGGGAGGATTCCACCCTGGGTAGGGCTGTTCTCCACTCCTCCGTGGCTTTGACATCTGGTTCTCTTTCTTAGATTCTGCTTTGGAGTCACCTATATTGGAATGCACATGAGCAATCACTCGAAGAAGAAAGAATGGTTACTTACCTCGTAACTGTGATTCTTTGAGATGTGTTGCTCATGTCATTCCAAATTCTCGCCCACCGCCCTTTATCCGGGGTATATTGGTAAGAAGGAACAGAATAGGTGAGGGGGCCAGCAGAGGTATATATGGGCCAATATACCGGAACCTCCCTGCTGGCCCTAAGGGTACTGCTGAGGGAATATCTTCTGACAGCACTTGCACGCTGCACGTACACACCTATATTGGAATGGACATGAGCAACATATCTCGAAGAATCACAGTTATGAGGTAAGTAACCGTTCTTTCTGATATAGTAGGGCAAGTGTGGGGAACCTTTTTTGGGTTGAGGGCCGCTGAGCCACCGAAAAATCAGTCATACACAAGTGAGAAACAAACAAAAAAACACCTCACTGACGTGGCCCCTGAAAGGGAAAGACACTCCCCACCCCTTGCACACCAGAGTCTGAGGGGGTCAGTCTAGTAGATTTTGTGTGTGCCAGCCCCATGATGGGGCGGGAAAGGGGCTACCCAATGCTGGGAGGAGCCCTGTGGTAGGGGTTGGTGCAAGACAGCCAAAAAAAAAAGTTTCATTTGAAAGGACTGCAGGATGGGCTTCTATGTCTCTCACTCCCAGTGTACTTGATGGAATTATAAGTCTGTAGGAAACAGAGTTTTCAAAGGTTCTGATATAAATCCAGACCAGGTGTCAGTAGGTGCTGATTCCATAGAAAATCAGTGATGGTCTAGATGGTAGTGTGAGTCTGTTGGCTCACTGGCATGGATTCACAGACTTTAAGGCCAGAAAGCATCAGCATGGTCATCTAGTTTGACTTCCTGCACATTTCATTCCACAGAAGCTCACCCATGAACACCTATTTAGACCCTTATCCTCTGACTGGGTTACTGAAGTCTTCCATTTACGGTTTAAAGACGTCAAGTTACAGAGAATCCACGATTTATACTAGTTTAAACCTGAAATTGACCCATGCACTATGCTGCAGAGGAAGGTTAAAAAAAACCCTTAGGCTATGTCTAGACTGCAGGCTTCTTTCGAAAGATGCTCTTTCGAAAGCATCTTTCGAAAGAGCATCTTTCGAAAGATCGCGTCTAGACTGCAGGCGGATCTTTCGAAAGAAAAATCCGCTTTTTCGAAAGAGAGCACCCAGCGAGTCTGGATGCTCTCTTTCGAAGACGGCCTCTTTACATTGAAGAACGCCTTCCTTCGAAAGAGGAACTTTCGAAGGAAGGCGTTCTTCCTCGTGAAACTAGGTTTACCGCCATCGAAAGAAAAGCCGCGTTCTTTCGAAATAATTTCGAAAGAACGCGGCTTGAGTCTGGACGCAGGGGAAGTTTTTTCGGGAAAAGGCTACTTTTCCCGAAAAAACCCCTGAGTCTGGACACGACCTAAGTGTCTGTGCTAATCTGATCTGGAGAAAAATTCCTTCCAGATCACAAATACGGCATTCATTTGGATCTTCAGCATTTCACAAGACACAACAGTTAGACACCTGTAAAAGAATTCTCTGTATTAACTCAGAGTCTTCCTCATCTAGTGTCCCATGACTAGTCATGGGGGATATTTGCAGCTACCAGTCACAGATCAGCTACATGCCTATGTAGGCAGTCTCATAATACTATATCCTCCATAAACTTATCATTCTCAATCTTGAGGCCCTCTAGATTTCTTGCTCCTTCCTCCCCACTCTCTTTGGAAGAATGTTCCAGAACTTCACTCCTCTAATGATTAGAAAACTTCATCTAATTTCAAGCCTAGATTTATTGATGGACAGTTTATGCCCATTTGTTTTTGTGTCCATGCTGGCACTTACTTAAATAACTCCACTCTCACCCTGGTATTTATCCCTCTGATGTTTTTATAGAGAGCAATGTCATCTCCCCTCAGACTTCTTTTCGTTACGTTAAACAAGCCACACTCTTTGAGTCTCCTCTCATAAAGTAGACTCTCCATTCCTCTGATCATCCTAATAGACATTCTCAGCACCTCTTCCAGTCTGAATTCATTTTTACTGTACAGTTGGTAGTAGTTGTGCGGTTAGCATTGATCTGGCATTCAGTGGGGGTTCAAGGTGAGGGCTGTCCACATACTGAAGAAGAGGGAGGGGTCATCAAAACCAATATCGAATAGGAGGCACAAATAAAATATGTTCAGTGCTGCCTTATATACATGTATGTTGCATGCCCACAGCTGGTGTGGATACCTTGAGAGTTGTGTAAATCTTGGGCTCATGGAGGTTGAGCGCCTGCAAGATGGAACCCCTTTCTCCCTAAGGAAGCAAAGGGAAACCTTGTGTCATTTTCATTCCTCCTCACTTTTCAGCATATTCACTCATAAGGGATGTTTTTGCCTTATTCTGTAGCTCAGTAATTTAATAGTGTCCTTTATTCAGCCCAGTGTGCACAGGTGTTGAAAATACAGTATTGGGGGGCAGGAGTTCTGGGCCCTTTAGAATACCCAGGCCCTTGGGCAGTTGCCCCCACCTTCTGCCCCTGCTGTCAGCGAGCTTAAGTAGAAGCAGGATCAGCCTCTTAGGTCATAATCTTGCAAAGATTTAGGCACATGCTTGAGTCGTCCCATTGGCTTTATGCAATATTAAGCATGTAGCTTTGCAGCTTGAGTCCTTACATTTTAAAAATATGAATGGTTTGCTTTCTTTAAGGGGTAAAATATTCAGGTGTAACTCTTCATGGCTTTTAAGTGTTTGCTCATAATTCTTAGGACACAAGCTTTGAAAATCAAATGCCAGCATTAATTTAGGTAATTTAAAGTCTTTGTCCTCTCACTCTGGAATGCTGACAGAAGCTCATCCTCGCAGGTTGTGTTCTGCAGTCAACAACTTCAAACATTATAGTATGTCATGAAGACTAATTGCAGCATTTTCCCCATTTCATGGTAAAATGGGTCTGCAAATGATCTTAGCAACAGCTGGCATCACAATTGATTTGCTTGAAATTCTCTTTTTCTGACCAATTTTTTAATTGTACTGTTTTGGAGAGCTTTGTACATTTAAAAAAAATAACTCTCCAAATTAAAATGCAAATGTTCTACAAGTAACTAGCTTTGAAAGAGATTTCAAAAGCTATCATAAAATTAGCGTTTACAGCAAAATGAAAACCTGTGCTGTTAGAAAGCTACCTGCTGAGATCTCAGCTGGTTCATGGTGCAAAGGGAGCCCAAGAGGAGAGAATTTTAGATGTATCTATATATACATGGACTAATACAAAGAAGAAAGTATACTTTCCTCCTCGAGGTGGAGAATAACAGTGAGAATCTATTTTGTACAGAATTCTCTGAAACCATGGTCATTTGGGAAATTGTCTCTTAGAAATATCAATGCATGTTTCGTGTTTTTGATAAAGTCCAGTCCTTTAAATGTTCATAACAGATGAGCGTACCTTTTCCTAATATTATTTTAAATCTGTCTGTGTTTATGTTGCAGTTCCAGGACTGACGGGAGTCTTGATGGTGTTAGTTTTATTTCTAATGTGTACAGCTTCTACATATGCTATCAGGTAAGACTTAATCTGGTTATTATCTTAAACATAATAGTCCGAGGAATCATATTCTTAGGCAGATTAGAGCAACAGCAGCGATCTGTAACAGGTGTTCATATACATGGAAGGAAAATATCAAATATCATATTCCATTTGTTGCGCTGATTTGTAGGTAAATTATCACACTAGGGTTTGGAATCAATATATGCTCAATTCAAATGCAAATTGGTGATGTTTTCAGAGCATAGATTTATGTAAGGTAAATGGTCATCTTGAAATCTAGAAAATTGTACATTCTCCTCTCACTATAGGAAAGATTCACAGAAACACAGGAAACTGTACAGTGGAAACAGTGACACTAATCACACAAAAAGTGCTGTCAAATGGACAAAGTAAATTGTTAGGAAAATCAGAGTTTTATGTAGTTTTTCTTCAACCTTTCATGGGTGTTAGTTGCGATAATCAAATGACAGGCTTTGATCCTGCAAACACTTACGTTTTTCATGTGTAACTTCTGCTCACATAGTAGTCCTTCTCGAGTACTCACTTGTGTTGATTAATGTTTTTTCAGAATCAGTAATCAAACATTTGCAGGAGTGGGGTTTTAGATCCCAGTTCACTCCATGCTCTATTATTGCCGCTTTGTCTTGATTCATTTCAATGGTATCTCCTCCTCTTTGATGTAAAGAGCAAGCTTCTTCTCCCCAAGCATTCCATAGCTCTACAGATACCTATCATGTCTCAGGTCATATCCCTCCTGATGTCCAACCTTCTCCTTCATGTCCTCTCTAGCATCTGAAAACTTTCTGCAATTTCTTTCATACTGTCCCTGTATTTGAAATAGATGTAAAGGCGTGATACAGATTTGAGATTAAATGAATATGCAGTTTCTGATATGAATTTTAGAACAAAACCAGTTGAATACACTTTTTGAAAAATCTTCATTTTTAATATTTTTTCTTGCTACACCATAGCTCACCACTAGCTTGTAAAGCAACTCTCCATTTTTTATTCAAGAGATGTTTGCTAGGAGAGAAGCTGAATTAGCTGAGAGAGGAAATTATTATTACCCTTTTTTCAGCACTGGTGAGGTCACATCTGGGCTACGTCTAGACTAAAAGCCTCTTTCGAAAGAGGCTTTTTCGAAAGAATCTTTTGAAAAAGCCTCTTTCTAAAGAGAGGGTCTAGACTACAACCACTTCTTTTGAAAAAAATGAGCCGCTTTTTCAAAAGAGAGAATGCAGGCAGTCTGGATGCTGTCTTTCAAAAAAGCCCTGTTTGCATTCAAAGGTGTTCTTCCTCATAAATGAGGTTTACCGTGGTCGAAAAAACTTCTGTGTTCTTTTGATTTAATTTTGAAAGAATGCGGTGGCAATCTAGACTCAGGGGAAGTTTTTGAAAAAAGGCCACTATTTTTGAAATCACATATAACAATAGTCATTCACATTATTATCCTATAAACCACCACAATCACATACTCTTCCAGTGCAATTCTACACCCACTCACATACCAAGACTAATTTCCCAAACTGATTAAACCCACAATTTGAAGGACTTAGATTTCTAGAAAATTCTATTTTCATAAATGTATATTTTGAATTGCAGATAGTAGAGAAGAAACAGTTGAAAGTGTTTTAAATAGAAAGCAAAAAAGTTCTGATTTAGTAAAAAACCAAAATTTATTTTTAGTCAATGTGCAAACAGATTTTTATGTAAAAAGGAGATGAAGATATTTCAAAGAGGGATGTAGTGAATGTTTGCAATGCCTTAATAATAGTTTGTTACATAGTTAGAGTTCAGATTTTGTTTTGATTTAATTGTTGTTTGTATTGTGGGTAGGGATAGGGATTTGTATTGAAAAAGAATATACTGTGCTGCTGTGTAGGGTTGGAATGTATTGTGTAGTTCATTTCAGAAGATAGGTAACATATGGGTCAATATTTCCTTAACTAGCGAGTTCCTAATATTTTTAAGTGTATTCATGGAGAAAGGAATGAAGTTTCCTTGTTTTAAAAATCATCAATAAAAGGAAGTTCTTCCCCTCTGCCCTGCACTCTTTGCACTTCTTGTAGCACTGCTTGTTCCCTGCAGTTAGCCTTGACATTCCCTGGATTCTGGAAACCATCTCTGTATGTCAGCCTAATTCCTGAAGTATCATCATACTACCCTCACTGTTGCCTCTTGCCTCTGTTCTCTGTCTGTGCACCATCGCTACTTGCATCTCCTTCACTTCTTCTCCCCTCTCCCTTGAGTCTCTGACAGTGTCCCCTCTGCATCCACTATTACCTCTTCCCATTCCACCCATCTAAATGTAAAATGCTTAATACTTACCTACGGTAAACGTTTAACAATATAAATGTCAACAAAAGCATCAGGGCAAGAGGTGTGGCCTGAGAGAGTCAGCATTGGGAAAAGAGCTGTGTATATCAGTGTGGTGCTAGGAAGCTATTATGGTAGCTGGGACGGTGAAAGAAGGCTGTGTAGAGACCTGGGAAAACTGGCTAGTCTCCATATCTTAGTTCCCTGAATTCGCTTAGTCCCTGCTTGTCTTCTCTCCCTTCCATGCCTGCCCAGTCCCCTGTCCTTCTTTCCAACAACTCAATGTGCAAATGTGTGAATATATTTTTTACATATATGGACCTCAGCTGAAGAGAATTTTGACTTTTCTGTGTTTCTAATTTTCACATAGCTACACAGAGCTGTTTATAATTAGCAATGACTGAGTGTAATATCTGAGATTGTCATTAATCTCCAGTTTATTCTTTGCAGGCTTTCAGACTATGACATCTTCTGGTACACACACAATCTTTTCTTTGTCTTCTATGTGCTGCTGATGGTGCATGTTTCTGGGTATGTAACAAAATAAATGGCCCCTGTTCTGTAAGCTCAAGGAGGAGGGTATAACTCCAAAAAATGCAACTGAGGCAGGGAGCTGAGCAGTGTTCTCTCTAAGCTGCAGAGCAGCACAGCTTCACAGGTGACTGATCAACCACGCCCAGTTAGAGTCTCAGGGCTCCATGCATGGGGGAGCTGATTAATCACCTGAGAAGCTGTGCTGCCCCACAGCTTAGAGGGACCACTGGTGCTGAGTGACATCTTCCTGACATGACCTTGTGGTGGCCTTTATTTCATGCTCAGGTAAAGCTTGTGTTGTGGTTGGCGCATCATTTGGTACAGCAGATTAGAACACAGTAGTGTTAAAACCTAAATCAAACCCTATTTATGCCCATTCCACCAAGTTCCTGTGATGACTAAAATAAATGTTTAGCTCTGGCCCCAGAACCACCCCTGGCTGGCTGCTGGGAGAAGTATGAAATAAGATCACCTTTTATTCACATCCTCGTTGCTGTAAACAAAATAGCTATTTTTCTCCCCCCCCACACCATTTTAAACCACCATTCCGTGGGTGTAAATCACCGCACAAGAGTCATGAGCAGGGGTTGGGAAGGCAGTCCTAGTGGGCAGGGCCAGTGTCCAGGGGCCTACGTCATTGGTCAGCATTTGGATTGAAATCTTAAAAGTGGGAGCTGGAGTTTGGGCTGGGACCAGGGTCCTAGTACTGATGCATAGGGCAGGGATGGAGCCTGCATGCAGAGGGCCAGGACAAGGTCTGTAGCCAGAGTCAGAGTTAAAGCACTGAACCCCAGGGTTGAAGTCACAGCCAAATTCAGGTACCCGAATCAGCGGTCAAAAGCTGGAGTTGGCTGCTCCATATTGAAGCCAGGGGTCAAAGCCTACAACAGAACAAGCACTGAAGAAGGGCTGGACTTGGAATCAGAGTTCAAGATTGCAAGCTGAGAATTCAAACCAGAGCCAAGATCTGAAAGTGATCAGAGAAGCAGATCAATCACAGTGACTGGCAGGGAAGTCAACCTCATTGCACAGATGATTCCTGGAATGCCTCCAGGGCATAGTGTGCCTAGACCAGTGGGGGCCATGCATCAAAGAATCATAGAATACTAGGATTGGAAGGGAGGTCCTAGGACTCGAGAGGTCATCGAGTCCAGTCCCCTGCCCCCATGGCAGGACCAAATACTGTCTAGACCATCCCTGATAGACATTTATCTAACCTACTCTTAAATATCTCCAGAGATGGGGATTAGACAACCTCCCTGGGCAATTTATTCCAGTGTTTGACTACCCTGGCAGTTAGGAACTTTTTCCTAATGTCCAACCTAAACCTCCCTTGCTGCAGTTTAAGCCCATTGCTTCTTATTCTATCCCAAGAGGCCAAGATGAATAAGTTTTCTCCCTCCTCCTTATGACACCCTTTTAGATACCTGAAAATGGCTATCATATCCCCCCTCAGTCTTCTCTTTTCTAAACTAAACAAACCCAGTTATTTCAGCCTCCCTTCAAACGTCATGTACTCTAGCCCTTTAATCATTCTTGTTGCTCTTCTCTGGACCCTCTCCAATTTCTCCACATCTTTCTTGAAATGCGGTGCCCAGAACTGGACACAATACAGGCAGTCCCCGGGTTACGTACAAGATAGGGACTGTAGGTTTGTTCTTAAGTTGAATCTGTATGTAAGTCGGAACTGGCGTCCAGATTCAGACACTGCTGAAACTGACCGCCAGTTCTGACTTACATACAGAATCAACTTAAGAACCCCAGGCGTCCCCAAGTCAGCTG